TATATATATATATATATATATATATATATATATATATAAATTATATATATATAAATGCCATTTATAAACATCGATTTAACCTTCTGCGCCACTTTCCAAATTGCTGTCATCTGTTCTCTTTCATTGCCCCACATTTCAGGAGACAGAGGAAAATGGGAATGAGTGGGTGGAGACAGAGTCAATAACTATTAAAAGTATAATAAAGGAATCTAAATAGTTCCATGAGTTCCTTTCTTTTCGTTGCGAAAAAAAGAAATTGTTATTTGAGGACATTCACACAAAAATGTCCTGGATGGATTGAATATTTGTTTGGTTGACAGTTTTATTTAAATTTGAATGTTTGTTTGTCTGTTTGTTTTTTTAGTAATTTTAATAGATTATTTGATTTAGCTTAATATATTTTTGTATCTTTTAGTAATTGCAAATTAGATAATTAAAAAAATAATTAAATTAAGTTACCACTGTTTTTCCTCTTCTTTTTTTTTTTTGTTTTTCGTTTATATTTCTTCAATTTATTCACCAAATTTGTGGGTTAATGAAGGGAGAAATTTTCCATTAGTTTATCTCATGCGCATTGATCAGGGAAAACTTAAGAAGACTTAAGCTTAAAACACCGTAATCTAATAATTAGACAAATGGATTGAAACAATTAAAAAGCTATACTCAATAATTATGCTATTATCAGATACTGTATATTGTAATTGAAAATGAAATTTCGAGTACGGATGAGAGTTTCATAAGAACTAAATGTAGCAACAAGTTTATTTTTTTCTGGAACATTTCACTCGACTTTTTTCCATTGTAATTCATTGTGATTCGAAGTCTATTTTTACAAGTATACTCTTCTTTTTTTTTATATTTTTGGAAATTTTTCCTGATGACATAATCGGTATGTCTGAGTATGTTCACTTCATTCAGTAATTTAATTGAGGAAAAGGTTCTGCAGCAGAGATAAAGTGAAGATCGAATTAATGAAAGTGAAAAGTTAAATTCAACAAAATTTGCAATCATTTTTGAAAAAAATGGATTTCGAACTATAAAAATAAATGAAAAATGAAACTTAAAATTTTAGGAAAATTTCAAAAAATGTGGTAGTTGCGTAAGCAGATTGAGTAAACCATTTTGAATCGGAACGATTAGTTATTTTTTGTTACCAATGACAACTACCAAAAGTTTATAAAACCTAAAGTTGGATTAATTGATTGATTTTTTGAACTTTAAAAATTGTTATAGAAAATATACAATCTTTGAAACATTAAAAAGATCAAAGAAAGTATTTCTGTTGGGAAAACATTTACCACTTTCTATTATATAACTTCTGGATATTTCTGTAATCTTTGCCGAAAAGATCCTAAGAAATCCAAGCTATGCTTTTATTTTATTATTTTATTTGAAATTACGATCAATGCTTATATCCATTCTTAACAATTAATACCTTCAATATGTAATGATAACCAGATATATGTGAGGATGATCTAGCAGCGAAAGAGATGTAATTGGGCATAAACAAAATTATAAATGGAAGAAATTCCATCATTTCTTAGTTTGATTCTGGTTGATTTTAGGTTTATTTGGTTTTCTAGTCGTTTCTTCCCATTCATCCTGAAGTTAGTTATTCCGGATCGAGCAAGATCATAGTGGTACTTTTTTTTTTCTAGGCATTGCTGCTTCAGAATATCAAGTATCACAGGCTGATTTTGTTTTACAAATATTAAATTCGAATACTCAAATGGAAGATTTATTCATTTCAAATGTTATATTAAAAATTTTACTTACAAAAATAACGATTTTTACTTTTCTTGTTATTATTTGCTAATAAAGAGCGTTAAAATGTGTGCATTCGAGGAGGGAATTTATCATCTCTCATTAATAATATATTAATATCAATGCCATCTTCCGTGTTTGCATAACCTATCACATAATTCTTTTAAAAAATTTACATAATAGCTAATGGAATGAGAGAGAGAGAGAGAGAGAGAGGAAAGAAGAGGAAAGAGAAGAAAAAAGAAGTAATTAGTCACATTTGATCTCCATAATATCATTAACACTTTAAAAATTGCTAACATTTGCATAAAAAACGTTTAGAATTTTTAAATTGCGTTTGTTTGAGACATTCATACTTTATTACATTTTGATACTAATTTGAAAGTTTTAATGAGATTGCAAATGATGGTTTAAATAATGCAATGAATACAATATGCATCAGAAATTCCTATAAATAATAAATAACATACCCGTTGTTTGAATATAAATTGATACAAAAAAAAAAAGAATTCTTAATTTATAACAAAATTGATTTTTATCATAAGTAAATAGCTATAATTTTCAAGAATTATCAAATTTTTAATTCATACTGTTCCGGAAAAAATATGTCCGTTTTTTTCCGTTTTCCTCTTCTTCCACTTTCTTGAAATTCTATTCTTAAACTAATATATGACTGCTGATAGTTTTCTTTTTTAAATAATTTTAAATGTTAACTATGAATTACTTGTCCGGAATAATTTCTGAGCGTGATAAATGCGCTAAGATGTATAAACATTCCAATTATTTAAGGCACATGTGAAAAAAAAAAAGGAAAACTCTTAACTCAAAGTTTTGAAGGAAAAAAAAATCGGCATGAAAAAATGTGGCCAGTGAAAAATGAAGTTTTTGGATACTCTTTAATTTCTCATTTCAACAACAAACTTTTTCCTTTTCCAAAGGCCTTTCTATAAGAGGAGGAGGATGAGAAAGAGAAGCATATTTTTCAACCTTTTTATAAAGACTTGTCCAAAACTTCGGTTGAATTTCTCTCATTAGTGAATAATTAGAGGAGAAAACATCTCATTTCATAGCTTCTCTTCCCTTTCATACTCAATTAGTACGAAAATAATAATTAAGGGCGGAAATAGCATAACGTATATCCTCAATTCATCATTATCCTAACAAAGTAAGCTTAAGCTTTTCGAGGTAATGATAGTAAATATCGCTAGAAGTTAACTTTTCTGTTCTCATATAAACAACGATTGACACATCTCCTAATAATGGCATAGCTATAATGGCATAAAAGCGGAAATGGGAAGAGGCCCTATACTCAATTCATCATCACTCTAACAAAGTGAACTTTCACAATGCTATCATCCTGGTGTCTCCATTATGGTAATATTATTTGAAGTTATAATGAAATACATCATTTTCTTATTTTCGCAATTTACCTAGAAAAAATCTGTCTTTTATTTTATCTTGTTTTATATTCCTTTCCTCTTTTTTTCCCTCCCTGTCTCCCTCTCTCTCTCTTCTATCCCGTTATATCGTTTGTCAAACTGAAAAATCTCGATTTGTTGATTGAAGGCTGAAATAATTCGTGATATATGGTAGTCTCTTTATAAATATATCATAAAAAAAGGATTATATAAGGGGATGATATATGGTCCTATTTTAAGTTCCAGAATTTGAGCAATAAACTTTCTGGAACACTCGATCCTCATTTTTGATATTTTTCCTGATCCAGTAACAATGTATTGGCTTATTTCGAAAATCCGAATAATGAACTACCGAATGTCTCACTTTTGTTTGCAGTAATCACGTCAGGCTTTTGTTTACAGTAATTACATCAGTAATTATTTGATTATTACCGAAACAGGTTAAGGAAATTCGTACCTGCCATATATCACTTATCAAAAAGATAGTGATTAGGTATGTTGACGATAATGATAACGGTAGCAATCATATGCTAGTGAATATGTAGTCTGATTATGATAATGATAACAATTCTGAGGAAAGTTGATTGGAGATGATGATTCATTCCACTTCGTTATCACAAATTTGCCCTTAAAATTGAATGAGAATTGATCGAATAATCAATGATATTATTAGCATTCCTACTATATCGCATTTAATTTGCTTCCATATAATAAAATTATCCATTTGGCGTATTTTTTTCCTTCAAAATGCCTGAAATTTTGATTGGAAAATGAAGTTTTTTTTTTCCTTTCATTTTTCCATTAATTTCTATCATTAAATTACAATGAGTTGAAGTAAATAAATAGAAAGATTGGCTCTTTCCTCTTATCTTATCTTTAATATTTCAAACTTTTTCGCATATTATCAAATCATAGGAATTATCAATCACGAAAGAAAACTGATAATAATTGAGTAAAATGATAGACGAAAGAAATTCAATTCTTCACTTTAACATTATTTTTTTAAAAAATACATAAACGTGAAATTTTTCTAAAAATAAATAATAAACTACACAATAAGGTAGAAATGATGATGAAATGTAAAAGTGTCATCTCGAGATTTGCTTGAATTAAAATTGAAATATTATTTTTGATGTGTTGAAAGGAGATGGAAATTTTCAAACTTACCATAATGTTACATTTATCTTCCACTTCGATGATTGTAACTTAGTAATTTTAATTTAATCTACTATTAATAATACTAATCCACTATTTTATTTAGGCATATCGAGAGAAGCTTTGAAATCATTTGTATACTTTCATTGAAAAGATTGTTTTTTTTTCTTTTTTTTTAACTCAGATAAGATACGTATCTATTAATATTTCCATGCTACTATTCCAAGCATTTCTGGTCATGTTTTTAGACCTGATGAATGACTGGGAAATTATTGGAACACAGAACAAATGGGTTTGTCCAAGCGACAGACAGCTACAATTGAGGGCGCAGTAAGTTTGAAGAAGATTTTGTTACGTAATTTGACGGATTTACGTCAAAGAATTGTGTCAAAAGTTGTTTATACGTTCTTCTAAATGCTATGATTGTTGACAAAATGAATTTTTGACTATTCAAAGAAGTTGATGAAAGTGTGGGAATAGAGAGGGAGAAAAGAGGAGAGGGCGGAAATGGAATAATTTTCGAGTTTAAGATGGGGATAATTTGAGAATTCGTAGACTAGTAAAATCTTCATTTCCTCAGAATTGATTTGAAAAGTTTGGTTTAATAGAGTACCACCTACGCATCCCATGATTAATCCAATTGTCCATTAATGATTCACACTTCCCGGCACTCCTTTATCTTGCGCAATTTTTTTTTTTTGTTCAATTATTTTTCGAGATAAACTTCCCTAACAAAGCTTTCTTCATTATGAATCAAATAAAACAAAAATGCCTTTATTTGGAATTTAAAAATTTTCATCTTACCTTCAGTATAAGACCAAATATTTGAAATTTTGTTTTTGTGTTTCACGAAAAAAACTTTTTTTTGAATTTTCAAATTTTTATCTTTTAATACAGTATCTTTTCAATACTGAATACATATCTGACTGAAAAAGTTTTAAAAAGAAGCAAACAAAAGTAATCATTTGAAATTTTATGTTAAAAAGCGGTTGGAGTGTTCGGACAGCTAATGTTCGATCATCAGCTAATGCTAAAAAGAATGGTATAACGGATTTAGAGAAGAAGCATATCACAGCTGTTTTAGCAAGGGCTGAAGAAAGGAAGTTACGTGAACAGCAAAGGATTGGGTATATCTTTCAACCAAATATTTGCATATTTTTTGAATGATTTTTGGTAATATTTGAAAGAAGAAATTTTTCCAGAAATTAATTTTAATTAATTTGCTGATTAAAATAGTTATCTATTCTATTAAAGTAGATATTTATGATAATTGAATGGAAATTTATTAAATTTGTTTACAGTAGAATGATTGATAGATTAGAGAAACTAAAAGATCGAGCTACGGGTAACGGTATCACTCAATGTTATCTATGTTCTACTGATTTCGGATTACTTGCTCCAAGAAGTTATGCTGCCATGTGTTTGCAATGTCGAAGGGTAACATATATATATATATGTATATGCATGATTATTTTATCTTTATCATTTTTATTATTTTCATTATCAATTTTCTTCGTATTTTAGCTACTATCGTGTTCTGTTTGTGGAAAGAATTGAAATTAATTTTAAAAAAGTAAAAATTAATTCTCACTTTTTTCGATTTTGTTTTTTTTTGGATAAAGAAATTATGTTTGTTGCAAAAACAATTACATACTTATTTTTTCTTTTTGTCTTCAGCTTATTTATTGTCATTTTTATATTAAGCTATTTCAGTATTTCATTAATTATCTCATATTATTTTCAGTATGTATGCCAAAAAAATTGTGGCGTGGATGCATATGATTACGTACGACGTGAAAATACCTTTCTGTGCAAAATATGCAGCGAGTATCGTGAGGTAGTAAGTACTGAAATATGCTTCGGTAACTGATCTGAAATCTTTTCTGCTTCAGAATCCTTTCGTACCTATCACTTTCTTTTTAATTATTTGCTATTTGCTATCTCTTATTGGTATGCTTTCTTTTATTTGGTACCTTTAGTTTTTTCCCTTTCAAATTCACCTTTAATTTCAACAAAAATTTAAAGTCAATTAATTATTTCCTCTTTTTTTTCGCATATATTTTTTGAATAAAATATTTGAAATTTAAGAAAAGTAGAAGTATTTGTTTTGGTCTGGTAATATAAATAGGAATTTTCAAGTTCAAAAAAAAAAAAATGAAAATTCAACGTGCTATCCTTTGCCCTCTTCCTTTCAATCTCTTGCTGATATCTTGAGTCATTCTGTAATAATCTACCAAATGGCTTTATCATATTTTCATAGTGCTTCTTGTAGAGTACTACTAGACCCATTGTAGC